TTACTCCTTTCTGAATTATCCTTTAAACTCTAACTCTTTTCCTAAGAGAAGAGATTTAGTTGGAGTTTGAGTGCACATTCTACAGTAAGATAGGGCTTCAGGAAGTCCTTGCATGTCAGCAGTGCCAACGTGTCTTCAGACCAGTGTTACACATCAGAAGACTGGCACACAGGAATGAGTCCTTGTCAAATGAGCAGGTTATTACAAAATGAAAGTGCACAATTTCACCATAGTACCTATTTAAAGATCATTTATTTTGGAAACAAGCAGAAGTGGTTTACATGAAATTGTTACTTCCTCTCTTAGATCATCTTTTGAGCAAAGAGAAACAGTGATTTAAAAGTCAGGCCAGAATTTTGCAAGAGGAACCAGTACTGCTCAATGACTGGTGCTAATGATGAAGAATCCAACACTTTTTTTAGTACAAGTGTTGCTGCTGCCCTTCAGGATTGAGAAGTGGGTGCCCACACTGCTGTTCCCCCTCAGTGGTGATGTGACAAGGCTCAGGTAAAAGAAGGAAACAGATATATAGTTGGGAAAGTAGTGAAAGAGGTGATAAAGGCTTCCAGCCTTCATATATTTGCTTTATATCCCTTTCCAAACAGTTGCCCCAGCCCTGCTTTACACACTCCCTCTGCCTGGAGGCAGCAGGAGCCTGGGTCTGGGCCACACACGGTGGGAACACTGAGACAGTGTTACAGCACTTTCCTCGCAGAACGAGGGAATTAATTGTGCTAAACCATCATCAGAACCAAGTTCCACACCTTCCTACTTGAATTCCTCTACACACAAACTTCTCGATCAGCATTTGAAGCTTCCCAGTGTTGGAATTCTCTCCGTGTCTCTGTGTTCTAAGAGCAGCCCCTGATGGGAACGTTTCCTGTCACCCCGGTCAGGACCAGCTGGGCTGCACTGCTGAGGAGCTGTGCACACACCTCTTCAGCTCCTTGTTTCCTGAGTTTGGCTTTCCAGAGAACACTGCAGCGTCACTGGACACCATAACTGTGTCAAGGGTGTTCAGGACAGGTGATGTGGTGAATGAGAGCCCTTTCCCAAAGCCTGGAATGTCACGTCTGCAGGTGAGCAGAAAAGGTTTGATCATCCTGCTCACCAAAAGATCACACTGCACATGCTGAGGCCATGCCACTCAAATGGTTCTCTTTAATGCCATGGACAGATCCTGGGAAAGCCTGGATAGGCAGGGTGGGGGCTGTAGGAAATACACCTTGTTTCATGCCTAATGCTCCATCCTACTGCACGTTTCCTTCAGGAGAACTGCAGGCTGATTCTGTCCTCTCCAGGGTTTGCCTCCTTCCACAGATGGTGGTGTACCAGGATCCTGGCAGATCTCTCTCCCATGGAATTTTTGGGAAATAGCATGGTGATTGACAGACAGACGTCAGTCTGTAAACAACAGTCAGCAAGGACAAGTGCCATTGTTTTAAATACACATTGCAAATGTTGAAAGTAATTGGTAAAGACATGACCATGAAATTACTGAAACCCATTCAGGGTTAGTGATGGGAAAGGTACTACATTTCTCCTGTGTCCCAGGAAATCTGCATTCCTGAGCACACCTGGGAGGTTTGGCACATCTCCTCTCATTGTGAGTGATTACTGCTCAGCAGTGCTGATCCTATTCTTCACAAGACATGTCTGAGTCAAGCCCTGGTTTTGGGAAAAACATGCATCTGTCTGGTCAATCATGATTTCCTTCTCAAAAGTGAAGGTGGTTACCAGTAAGAGGAAAGTCACTGGCTGTCACTGGTGAAAAGATGTAAAATGTCTCTAACACTGGAGAGTATTTGTAGGTTCTTTTTACTGCTTCTTCATTGCCACAAGTAACATCTTGAGAAGGAGGGTTTGTACATGCTTGTAAATGCAAAAGAAACACTTCTGTCTCACTCTGAGAGTGCTGTAAGTCAAACACAATCTTCATTTCCTGTAGTGTGTCACTAAAAACGAGGTTTGGGGATTCTTTTTGCAACAAGGGAATATACTTATCTGCTGCAGATTTTCTTAGGGATTTGTAAATAACTTGCAAAGTAGCTTGTGTCAATAGATCCTGGTGCATCCACAGATAGGGGCTTCCTGTTTGTGCCCTGCCAGAGCTCCAGCTCTGAGCTGAGGGCTTCAAAAGGGCTCAGCAGAGACCAGCTTTCTGTGGGCCTGATATTTCTGATTGCTGACACAGCACATCTGTAAAAAGACAGAAAATGTGAGATGTTAGAGTGGTTCTCCCTGTTAGTGATTCCAGATAAAGCCCTACACAGAAGAGCATTTTGATCAAATCAGCAGTTTACCAAAGATGAACAGACAGTGGGAAGTTTGCCCTCAAATTTCTGCCTATCAGCACACCCAAATCCTAAAATTAACCCAGGGAATATCTAAGTTACTGTTTCTGACATCCACTACTTTTTTCTCTGATAATCCTTTAACAAAGGATGTCACCTACAGTGTGCAGCTCTTGAGTATTTATTTCTAAACGGCTTGGACCTGGAGCCATGTACTGTAACTTGGCAAAGCACACACAAATATTCTGAATCAAACACCAACTGAAACCTTATGGAAATGAAAAGAATTTATGCATATGGATAAGAATAAGTTGTTTAATCTGGACTTGAGTAATTTTATCTCCAGGGAGGACTGGGAGAGTTCAAGATGCTCAGTGTCTTACAGTAGTGGGCCAATATCTTCATGAATTGCTTTTGTAGTGCAGCCATCAAAGCAATCACACAAAATTTAGGCTCAACTTTCAAACATCCAGCTATGTGAGGAACAGACTGAATTAAAAGATAATCAAGTTAAAAGGGATCCTAAAACTGAAAAAAGACAGTTTTATTTTGTCTAAGCAGCATAACTTTTTTTTCTTCAATGTAAAAGAAATAATGCCAAGGAATGTGGAGTTGTTTTATCTGTTAAAACTCAATTTAGCTTTCAGTTATATGGTTGTATTTATTTTATTATAATCAGTAAGACACCGTTTTCTCTGGTAAGGACCAGAACAAAAGACACATAATGTCTTTTGCTGAATGGATGAGGTATTTCTAATGTGCTAAGATGTGACTCCACACAAAGTTAATATTTGAATTCAAGGAAGGACTTTAATTGTGCTTTTGAAAATGTAAACCCAGATGTGTCAGGAACTTTTATAAAAGCCATTGGAACTTCCAAGGGAAGAATTAAACAAAATTCTTTCAGAAATAATAATTCTGGGAATGAGTGACTCACAGTCACTGCTGTTCACAGCATGAACTTTTCTAGACTATTTAACTATTTAGGAAGAACAGTCTCCAATAGAACCATTTCTTCTGTTTGGACTCACCCCTAATACTGGGGTGAGAAGCAAGGAACATGCAGGATGTGTTTTGTGGGCCTGCATTTGCTGTAGGTGTCTGCAGTTCTCAGCACTTCTTAGCCACACATCCTAAATAGTTCCAGTTCTGCTGCCTGGAGTTCCTACAACTGTGGGTTCATACAAGTCTCATAACAGGTAACAAAAGCACATTTTCTCCAAGTGCGTAACACTGTAACACTGTCACGGGATGCTCTGCAATGCCAGAAGTTGAGATGGGTTCAAAAAGCAAGAAGAAAAATTCATGGAAGAGGGAACCACCAAGATAAAACCCCTGGCTCAGGAAGCTGCCGAGCTCCAGAGTGCAGGGAGGAAACAGGCACGGAGCTGCTTTTATCTGTTCCTCAGCATCTGCTCCTGGGCCCTGCAGAGCCTGCAGCTGACCTCTGCTCTTACCCCAGCCGCCCCTCCTTCCATCACTGCCTGGCACAGTGGCACTTTTGGGGAGGACTGGGACTCCCCTGAAGGTTCTGTGTGACAGTCGGTCAGTGATCTGATCCAGCCATGACCTGGGAACACCACCCCTATCGCCTCAAGAACGGGCTGTTGGAACCACTGGGGGCTGCTTCACCCCTCACACTAAATCCTGCCACAGGAAAGGAGTGACAGTCATGGGAAAGCACAGACTTCCACTTGACTCTGGCTCGATGGCAGTCTGTGGTTTGGCATTGTCTGTGTTAATATCTTATAATTTCTTCAAATGGGAGTTACTTGTAATAGCAGTGCATGTGTGCAAAACATTGTGTCCATCACAGTGTTCTAACTTAGTGAAAGAAAAAAACTGCCCTGGTTGTTCCTCTGGTGATAGTACAAAGCACCTGTATGGAAATCCATGGAGTAATTTTCAATCATACCTTAATTTCTAAAGAAGACCGAAATTCCGTCTTTTAACTCCTCCAAGGACATACTGTGTAACAGAACTTGGTGTTACAACATTACACTCTGTCCCAGGAAATGGGACTTGGTTGTGCTTTCGTTGGCTTTTATCTGGTTCTGACTCAGATTACATCAATGCACAGTTGATAATATGAGCACAATGTGAATTAGCAAATAATGCCAGTCTGCCTTCAGCAGCATTTGTTTCACTTCCACGTTTTCCTGTTGTGAGCTGCAACCCTGTTTGCTTTATGGATGGAAATGCAGAAAGAACAGAAATGTGCTGCTTGGTGTTCAGAATTGTAAGTCAAAGGATTTCCTGCGGGGTCACACATACAAACTGCCCTCTGCAAAACGTGTGGATGGACTGCCAGGAACTTTCCTGGACATAGTTCTTGCAGGTGGAAGGCTGGAAAAAGCCTTTCCTGAACTTCAGCCGGCAGTTTTAGCTTGGACAGTGTCGAGTGTTTGAGCTGCGTAACAGTTTCCCCGTGAGGAAGTGATTTATTCCTGCAGGCTGACTGCGGGTATCGCTGACAGCCCAGGTGGTTCTGCTGGAGTCCCCCCAGCCCCTTGGGCGGTGACACCGTCCCTGAGCCCGAGGGAATGCCGTGAGGAAAGGCCAAGTGCAGTAAAACAAGGACACTGGAACTTCTGCACAATGCTTGGGAGAGAAATTTGCTCCCTGTGCTGTGAATGAGCAGCTGAAAACCAACCAGCTGATGTTCCCCACGGCGTGACAGCCAAAGGCTGGATTTCCTCGTGGCTATTCCCCTACCCCGGGGTTGGCACCGAGAGCCGGATCGGGGCGGATGAGACGGGCCCGCTCTGTCCCTCCTCCCGCTGCTCCCGCGCCCGGCCCGGACCATAGAGCGGCGCGGGGTAGGCGGGCGCTCGGCCGCGGTGGCGTGTGGGACGCGGGCGGATCGCGGCCTGGCGGGGCGGCGGCGGAGCGGCCGCGGGCGGAGGGCTCGGGGCTCGGGGCTGAGGGCTCAGCATTAAGGGCTCAGCGCTCAGGGCTCAGCGCTCAGGTGAGAGCGGGGAACGGGCCCGGCCCGGCCGGCGCGGCCTCCGCCCGCACAGCGCCCCGGGGCTCGGCCCGGGCGGGGCAGGGTCGGTGCCGCCGGTGTGGGGAGGGAGGAGCCGCGGGGCAGGACCCCCGAGCCGCGGCCCGCGCCCCCCTCGGGCCGGAGTTACCGTGAGGGGCGGGCCGGGGCTGGATCGGGCAGTGCCGGCCCCGCGGGCATTCCCGGGTGCCTCAGACCCGCCAGGATGGAGCGGGCGGTGCTGCCGGAGGGCACAGCCGCGGGGCCGGGGGCGGCCACAGGCCCAGCACGGCTTCGCTGCTTGGGTTTGGTCTTGTTTAGTCCTTCATTATTGTTCACGTGCAGGTCGGAGACTTCGTCGTGTCACGGGACTTCAGCGTGATTTGGAAGCGGTTTAAAATACCAGCTTATCAGTTCGCTCTGCGTTGCCAGTATGTGCACAATTGTACCTAAATTCTGTGGGTGTGAGGCAGAGCTACCTGTGCCCTGATGAGTGATTGCAGCTAATGTGTTTGGCTTTTTCGTTTGAAAAAGCCCCTGCTTTTCACGTTTTCAGATCTGTTACCCAATAATTTTCTGACACAGTAACTGCAAAAATACAGTCCAAAGCTGCCTGCATAGGAAGCACATCATTCCTAAAGCTGGTCGTTTATGAGAACAGTATCACTGCCTCCTTTGTGCTTTTTAAGTCACTGTGTTCACTGATATAACAGTAAGGAAAGAAGGTGTCTAGAGTAAAATGTTACTGTTGAAATGGAACTTTAAATAAAATATTTGGGATCAGAGCTTTAGATTCACGCATTGCTTTTTCTTGACCAGTGCTCACACAGGTGGGTCCCTCTAACTTGCCCAGTCCTTGTTCCTTTTGCTGTACATGTGTGCTGGGAAGTCACAGGCACGTTCCAGGTTTTGATGCATTCCCAGTAATAATCTGTGTGGAGTGTCCTTGGTTCAAATCCAGCACCAGAGTGAAGTCTGTGGGACTCGTGAGCACTGAGCTCCAGTGCAGAGCCAGAGCAGTGGCTCATGCTTGGAGTGGTCTGTCTGCAGAGGTCACAGCTGGGTTGTGGCATTTGCTGTGAGTTCTGTGCTCGGGGGAAGTGATACAGTCATTTTCCTGAGTGAGAGTAATGCAGAATTGCTAATGTTTAAAAGAGAATTCCTTCAACTGGTAACACCTGTTTCTGATGAGGAAAATGAAATCATCTGTGATTGTTGATCCAGGGGGAGTGATGGGGGGTTTCCCCCCTCAGAGATGAGGATGTGGCAGGAACAAAGCACGGCACACAGAACAGGCTCTGCTGGACACACTTGTTTGATAGAATTCAGTGATTCACACAACTTGGAATGAGTAAGCTACCAAAAAAAAAGTTAACTGCTTTGTATTTGTATCCCTGTATCCAGCTTGGAATACAGTGAGAAAATGTCTACTTTTCAAGTAACTTCTTTGTTTCTCTATGTATAAGACACTTGGCAAAGTTATATTTTTTTTTCATTCTTATTGATGTGCTTCAGTGCTTGACTCTGACATTTCTTCCTGGGGTTTTGTAGTGCTTTTGTGAGAAACCACAAATACTGGTATTTCACTGACATATTCCTGGTGTTTCTCTGTCTGCTTTGAGTCTGAAAAGTGACTTTAGAATGCTGATGTTTTTGAGACCATTTCCAGCACTGGGAAACCTGTTAAAGGCTTTTCTGCTTTTTGTGGTTCCTTGTTAGGTTATTAAATACTTCTGAAAAAGTATCAGAGTTGTATAATCTCAGATGGAAAGAAAAGCCTCATTTGAGAAATCAGGAGGGCTGTTCTGCTTGTAGAGATGGTTGTAAGGTCGCTCTAAAGTGATGATTTAAAAATGTTGTTTGATATCCTTATATGGAAACACTCTTTGTACATGTTTCGTGGCACTTTCTTTGTGTGGTTCTTATTAAGAAGCTCCCAGTCTGCCTGTTCCTAACAGTTTACTTCTTGCATCCTGACAGGAACAAAGGAAATGACCCATTTTCCTTCCCCTCTCTTTCTCTCTCACTGGAATACTGTTCTCAGCAGAAGAGGGAGGGATGGCACGTTCCAGGGCTCTGTGTTTGCAGGGGAGGAGCTGGAACTGAACTTAGTGGCAGTTTGCTCCCTTTGGTTGCCAGACATCACATTGTTCAGGGTAGGAATTTGTTGGGATCCGAAATGAAACTTTGCTACATTATGCCCCATTGGAAAACAGATCTGGACATTGCTCTACTGGAGCACAGTGTCCTTTTCTCCTTCTAGGCCTGCTAGATAGGGCCCAGAATTATTTACAAATAAAGTTTCTCTGCTTTTTGCAAGTTATTGCAGTTGCATCTTATCTATTCCTTTCTCTGTGTACTATTTTGCATGTGCTGCTTGGCTTATCTTGTAGTGATTGAAACAGGACTCAGAAAACCTAAGGAGAACAGAACAGGCTCTGTTTTGCCTTAGTTATGTTTTTTATACATTTTATTCTGGAAAATTGATGCGAAATTAAATATTCCAATTTCCGGTTGAGGGCCTGCCCAGAGTGTAGTCAGAGGCTCAGCTCCCCACGGTTTTGCAGTTTGGCTCAGCTGTGTGCAGGCAGAGTTCTGGATTTCAGGGCTCGCTGATGCCCAGCATGGGCTGGGTCAGCAGCACGTTCTCCCTGGGAGCAGTGCCGCCGATGCTGAGGTTGTTTGGTGCTGGAAGGAGATTTAACATGTGGCGTTTTGCTAGCGATAAACTTTTGATTTGTGCTGTGTGGGAGAGCCTCGGGAGGACAGCACGTGGTCATCCGGGGAGGGTGGTTGGTTGGATGATTTTCGAGCAAACCTCACGAGGGCAGTATTAGGAACTGCAAAGTGTGTCGTGGCTGAGTAGCTGAGCTCCCAAATGAACCCCGGTGTCTTATTAAGTGTTGTGGAACAGCAGGTGTTTTCTGTGGGTGGGTTTTTTTTGTGTGTTTGTTTTTATGGTTGTTGTTGAGGTAACTTTTAGTTAGAATATTTTTATTCTACATAATACAGTGGAAATGACCAACTGGCTGCCTGTGGCTGCAGTCATGATGTGATCAGAGCACCTGTGCTGCAGCTTTGGCTGCAGAAACTTTTTGGTCAGAGGAAGACACAAGGTGAATATGGTTTGGCCTGTAGGAAGCAGGTTTTGTAAGTTATATTTATGGAACAAATTATTGTAAATTTAGCAGAAGCAGTTAGACAATTTGCCATACATATTGAAACCTGAATTGTTCCCCCTCCTATCTACAGGCAGCTGGTTTGGGGGTTTCTCATCTGGCATCACTGTGGGAGATAGGCCAGGTCTATCTACATTAGCACTCAGTGGCTTTTTATGAGCTTTTCTAAACTCTTGAATTATGTTACTGATTTTATAGACAAAGTGACAGCAGAGGTTTGCAAACTTAGAAACAAGATGTGGCCAGAGCAATGGGTTACATCTGTCAGTGAGACTGTGACTGTCTTTAAGGATCTAGAGCAGTGGTTGGCTGGAGGCTGGAATGAGCCCTTGCATATTGGTCAAAGAAAAATAAGCTCTCTTTTTTCAAAACCATTCCTAAGGCTTTCTTAACAGTTTCCCAGACTGTTTTGAGGAATACCTAATTAGGGGCTGACAGAAGATGGTTAGGATCAGGACCTCCCTATTTTCCAGGCAGTGGATGTTTTATTAGGCTTTCATAGCAAGGAACCGAGCTGGGTTTGGGGGAAAAGTAGGCCTTGTTTTCTTCCAGAGTGGCTGGCATCTGCACAGCTGCCAGGACTTTAAATGTCTGCTGCAGGGCAAATGAAATGCTGTGGGAGCTGAAAACATGTTTTCTTTAAAACTCCAAGTGGTAATTATGCTAACTTTGCTTTTGCTCAGTCCAGAGTGTGTCTCTGCTAGGATTGGACTGTCAAAATGCCAGTCTCAGAAAGTGGCCTGTATCCTGCTGAAATGGCTCCTGCTACCCCCCAGGAAGGTGTTTGTGTGTGAGCACACAGGTGCCTGCACAGGCACTGCCCTGCTTCCCCAGGCCAGGAGCTGCACTGCCAACAGACCGGGCTGGGAAGTGCTCCTGCCACCTGTGCACTTCCTGCCCTGCTCAGGGGCTGCTCTGGGTGAAGGGGCCTCTCTGCTGCCCTGAGAACTCACCTACAGCTCAGCTGTAAATAGAGAAGGGCTTGCCAAAACCCTTCTTCGGGGTGTCTGAAACCAGAGAACAAAGCTTTTGGAGAGTTCTTCACCTCAGGGTGAGTTTCCGTGTCCAGAATGGGTCAGCCAAGTGTGTCCTTTTCAGCAACAGGACTTTGAAGTGACTGGGAATAATGTTATGTTCTGACCCTTACCTGGGAATCACATGAGTGTCCTGTTCTCATGGGAATTACTGTGTAATTTTTAGACAACAGTTACATTACGTTCACTGGTTTGTAAACCATATTTAAGAGAAATATAATAAGTCAAAAGGGTAAAAATTGAAAGAAAAATGACCTCCTTAGTGCTGCTATATCCCAACCGTGGTTGGGAACAGAGAATATTTGAATTTCGGGTTTCATTAGCTAAGTGCAGAATCAGAGAACTTAAAAAAGCATTCCATCAGGAGTGCCATGCGTACTCAGCATTAGCTTTCAGTAGATAATTTTCCTTCTTCAAAGACAGGATGGATGAAAGTTTGTTATGATACTGAATTTTAGTATTTTGCATTCTAAAGGAATATCTTTGTTTCGAAACTTTTAAGTATTGAAATGAAGAATTCTGGTTTTGACAATCCCATGTAACTTCTTTCAGAAGCAGACATTTTGATTGTGGCCTCTTTATTGTGGTAATCCTTGAGTATGTGACGTTTCATTCTACTAGAATAAAATGTGATTTTTATAAGCAGATGATCAGTTCAGAATTAAAATCAGTGTAATCTTCAAGTCAGCTAACATGCACTATGGCTTTGTTTTCCACAGTGTCTGAAACTCGGAGTGACGAAACATGTCTCAGTCAGGTGAAAAAGTGAAGGTAAAGAGATGGCTGCATAGCCAAAATTTTGTTTAGAGTCTGTTCAACTTCTGAAAATACTCATGGTTTTAATGAAGTGGTAAAATTGTGAATAAATGATACCTTATTGCTGCAGATGTGTTCCTTAAAAGGGACTGTTTAGTGGAAACAAAGCTTACATGTGATTCTTGCAATAGGTTTCCTGGTGTTTGCCTGAGTTTGCTTTCACAGTTAAATTGGTACTTTTACCTCAGGAAACTTTATTTGACAAACCTTCATTTCTAATGTTTTTGGATTGTTAGCAAATAAATAATTACCTTTTAAGCTGTATCCCCTCTGCCCCACTGGAAATGTCTGGCATTGTATAAAAAATGTTCTCATCATAGATTCATCTGTGAAGAAAACCTCTGATTCCAGGTAGTTCATAGGTCCCTAAATCAAGTGGCTGCAGTTCTTGTTTAGGCTCCTACCAGGTTTTCAGTCAATGGATAACAGATGGTGAAGCAGCCTGCTCTGTTTATAGCCCAAATCTCTTTGATAAGTTTTTCAGGCATGTTTCTTTTTCCTGCTTTTGTGTTAGAAGTTAAAGATTGTGAAGATAGGTGAGCACCTTAACAAGCCAAAGATACATCTCTGTGTAACTGTGTCTTGGAAATCCCTACATGAGTACAGTGTTCCTGTGTTTTACCTGGGAGCATATACATTGTTTATAGAGAAGATAGTAGCAGCAAATACTAAATTTTAACAGATTTTTTTTTCTATTTTTAGCTGTATTTACATCTTAAGATTGATAATAGCGTGCTCTTGCAAGCTTGCAGATGTTGATTTTATGCAAGGGGAGACTTTTATTTGTGTAGCCCAAGGTACTGACTGGTTTCTGTTGATACATCAGCCTTGGTCAATGGGCCTGTGTCAGGGTCTGCCTTGCTACAGCAGCAAAAAATGGTTTCATTCTCTATTTTTCCATGTGCTTTTTATACCTCTGCCCCTTCCTTACTGTGTAGAATCAGCTGAACTTGTTTTCAGCTTTGAAGGGGGAGAAGGATCTCATTTATTCCCAGCCTTTGTTTCCTTGCAGTTCTCTGACTCGGCGGGGTATGTGGGCTTTGCTAACCTGCCCAACCAGGTTCACAGGAAATCTGTGAAGAAGGGCTTTGAGTTCACACTCATGGTGGTTGGTAAGTCACTTCTTTAAGTGTTTTTGACTGCTATACAACAACAGTGACATTTCTTTCAGAGGTGTATCTCTACTTAGCAATTGACTGTTACACAGAAAAAAAGCTTTGAACCTCTATACTTTCTAATTAAATCTCTTACCATTTTGTCCTGTTTTGTAGGAGGGAGTATTTGTAGTGATTAGAGGTGATGACTTTGAGCCAGCAGGACATTTTTGTGTTCCTGACTCATTGTCAGATGATGGGGTGGTTGTTTAATCTTCCTTTGACTCTTTTTCCCCGACTCAAGGCATGAATGCACATGGTCAGTATCTTGCTGTTGAAATGGTGATGCTGCTGTTGTGTTTGCTGCTGTTCAGTACTGACTCACTTTTGTGTCAGAGATAAACCTGTAATTTAAGAAATAATAAATAATAATAAACCCTGCCTGTTCTGTCAGTGAGCACCTGTGTCTTTGATGGAGAGTCCTTTAGGCACAAAGGTCTCCCAAGTGACATGTTGAATTATATCTGCATTGAAGCAGTTTAATGTTATCCAAGTGCAAAGGGAGCCCACAGTACTGTCACTGTTCTGTAGCAGTTATTGAAAACTGAAAATGAGAAGAGATGTAGAACACTTCCATCTTATTCTCTGTGCTCTGTAGTACTGTTTAGGATTATTTGGTGGCAGTGTTCAGCAGTGTTTGTGAGATAAATAGGTAATTTGTGTTAAGTGTAGAGTTCTTGTTTCATGTAGTCTGTGATGATAGATAACTTTTCCATCTCCAAGATCAGATTAGTAGCATCTACAGTAATATGGCCAATTGTTCTAAATGCTGACTCCTTTGATTCCTTGGGCTAGGAAAAAAGTGATTTTTTGAAACTCAGGTTTAGTAGTTACATTTACAAGTTTATTACTTTGATGTATGACTTGAAGTTACAGAATTGTGAATCTTCTCAGGTGAATTTTGAATGGTTTTGGGTTTCATAGAACGTACGTAGGCTCAGCTGTAAGGGTGCAAACCCTGACTCTTAGTTTGGGGTTGCTTTACTCGTTCTCCTTCCTAACACTGTTCCAGGTTCAGTTTCTACCTTAGGAAAACCATGAAGCTCTCAGAAATTTTCAATGGGAGAGCTACAGCTCCCGATTTTTGTAAGTTTAGATGAAAAAGTTTTAATTTCCCTTAAGTAACTGAACTGTCTCTAGGTCTACAGCCAAAGTGCTGCCTGACCTTTCAGCTTTTATTGTGACATCTATTACAGTAAACTTAAAATTTTCATGTAACATTCATGAAAACACTGGAGCCTTGTTTTTCCGGTGTTTTCAAAGTGCTTAGCTGAACCTTTGATGTTTTTATATCAAAAGCTAGGGTGGATCCTGATGAACAAATTATTTTTCCTCCATAATGTGGGCCTGAAGAAGGACGAGGGGTTTTAAAAAGCTTGGAGTAAGACATTTATATGCTTAATAACCTGAATTGTTTTGTTTGTAGGTGAGTCTGGCTTAGGAAAATCCACTTTAATTAACAGTCTGTTCCTGACTGATCTATATCCAGAGCGTTATATTCCTGGAGCTGCAGGTAAATGTGCTTTTGCAGTTCCTCCAGCACACATCCTACAAAACTTCGTGTTCTTTGAGTTAACGTTGCTTCATTCTGATAGCCTCACCCATGACACCCTTTCTTCATGCTGTCTACATGTATTTTAATCCTCCAAATTGTATTTTGTTGAGTTGTCATTTTCTCATTTATTTTTCCTTTCAAAGACTCCGCTTTTGTTTCTTCACCAGTTGTTATTAAAAACAACACCACCCAAGCCTTTTAGGTGTCCATATACCTAAATGTGGCTTTGCTCCCATTTCCTCTCTTGCTTTTTGCCTCTAATGCCTTAAATCCTGGTTTTGACAGTCCAGCATGCTTTTGAGTATTCAGGTTTTATTTTTGCATATTGTTATGAGTAACCCCCCTTTTAGTTTATTGCTGCTTTTTATTTACAAAGACGTGGTATTAAATTTTACCTCCCAGCTTGTTCTTTTCCTCTAAAATATTTGATGTTGTGTAGGTTACAATACAGTCCAGGTGGCAGTTCCTCCTCTGTTGCTCTGTCCTGCAGGGCTTTCTGCAGCAATTGATAGGCATAATAACAATGCAAATGTTCCTTTATTTTAGAGAAAATAGAGAGGACAGTTCAAATCGAAGCTTCCACAGTAGAGATAGAGGAGCGAGGGGTGAAGCTGCGTTTAACAGTAGTTGACACACCAGGATATGGAGATGCCATTAACAGCCAGGACTGGTATGTGTGGAAATGCTGCTTTGTTAATAGAGTGTGTGTCTTCTCAAACTCCACTCCAGTGTGTCTGTGCCCTTCTACAACTTCCACTTTCAATTTTCTAACTGCTTTCTCCTGTTTTTAAGAGGTTTGGTTGGGGTTCTCTAGGCTCTGTATGATTCTGCCCCAAAATCAATGGCCTTTCCTCCTGTAAGGCTCTCTGACAACTGCAGTCAGCTTTTTGTCTCCATGGCCATTCCAATAGGGTGGAATTATGGGGGGCAGGAATTTTCTGTTTGTCTTTTACTTTCTGTGTCTCTGGCCATCCAGTTTCCATGTTTTTAAGACAGTACTTTCCATTCCCTGTCCTTCATAGGTACTATTAGCAATTTGGGTAGCTGCTGTTATTTTTTTATGATGAAGTTGGTGCTTAGCTCTCTCTGGCCTAAATGTTGCTGATAGGCTTTAAAGGGTGAAGTAATTGTCAACAGATCCACTACACAACATACAGAATTGCCTTAGCATAAAGGTCGTGAAAAAAGACAAGGGTGAAATAGGAAGGAACTGGGCAGGTTGTAACAAAATTAGTTCATAAATGTAATTTCCAAATAATCATACTCAGGCAATTCTCTTTTGCTGTGGAAAACTGACAACTCTCTTCAAATAAAGGTGAGATGTATTACTGTGCTTATGAGGATGCCTGAATCCAGTGCAACTGGAAGCTGAATTTTGAGTGTCTACATGATTGTCTTTTAAGAAGTGCTAACAATATTTATTTTGCTTAAATATTGACATTTGACACTTTTTTTCCTGGTGGTGGTGGTAAATCAAAGGCAAACAGTGTCACTGTGCAGAGGGAGGAAGCATAAAACTAATACAGGTTGATTTGAGTCCTTCAGTATGAGTTAAAGGTCAGGAAAGAGACAAATACCTGATGAAATAAGCATCTATAATGCTAATAGACTGTGTTGTAGTCTCTCATTGACAGAATGCTGTGTTATCTGGAGCATTCTGAAGGACACAGTTATCAGGGTTTTTCTCTTCTTTCTAGGGTGTGTACGTAGGAACATAGCAAAAGTGAAGGCACTGAAGTTCCGTAAGACATGAAATGAAAGTTTGAAAGTGAAGCTCTAGTGAGATTTTTATTTTCCTCCCACTTTTCCTACTTTAGTAAGTTGAAAAAGAATTGAACTTTTGGAATAACACAAAGGCATCTCTCTGGACTGCACCATGGTCTTGCTTATTTTGTGCACTGTTGACTAGAGCTTCCTTCCGCTGCAGCCAGAGCTGAGCAGCCTGTGCATTGTGTTACTGAGAGCTCTTCCTGTTGATTGTGTTCTAATGCCCTTTGTTTATTCTGTTCAGATGTTTCTTAGAGACCTACGTGTTGGGATTTTCCCCCTCTCTTTTTGGAGGCTTGCTGAATAGAGTCAGTCCATGGTGATTCAGACCCAGGAGAAAAACTTACCATTTTGTACGTGATTTTCTGGGACAAATCTTAAACATCAAGATACACGACAGGAACAAATAGTGCTTACTTACTGCAAAACAAAAAGATGTAGTTAATGACAGCTCTTTAGTCTAATTTTCTTATGTCACACAAAAAGACAGTGAGTCATGGCAAGTGTCATTTGACAAAGTCTGTTAATCTTTCCAGGATGTCCCAGGGACTTGGATGGACAGACTCTTTGTTCTGAACTGCAGTGAAGGCAAACTCAGTGCAACCACCTTCCTTCCTTGGTAGTTCAGAGGAAGGAGCAAGTTTGTGTTCTTGAACTCCAGTTTGTGTTCAGGAGCATTTCCTGCAGTCATGGGTAACCGGTGGATGGTGCCGATCGTGGGCCAAGATTTATAAAGCCCTTTTTTTGGGAAGGCTGCAATTTGTGCTGACTATGTCAGGGTGATGAATTTTACTAAGGCTATTTTTGAACAGATGTCCTTGTACCTAAAACAGGCTGTAAGGGAAGGTGAAGGAGAACCACAGTTAACCAGAGTGATAATTTTTTAGATGCTGTGTGAAGCTTTAGTGCTAGCTGGGGTTCTGTGTTGTACAATCAAACCACACCTAGAATTGCTCATGGCAGCAGTTTAAGCATGTTTGGAGAACAGCAGAGTTCTTTGTGGTTGGAGGTTTGACACGTTCAGCATCTTTTCCATGCATGAGTATGTAGGGGTCATGAGAGGAGCATGTCCTTGAAGTAACATCTCTCATGAGATAGAAGAGAGAGGATCTAATCAGGGGAGGAACAAAATTGCTTGATGCACAGATTTGGTGTGAAATCTGGCCTCAAGGGGAGGGCTGACAAAACCAGCCTGCAGGTGAACTTGTTAGATGCTGCTGATCATGTGCTTTGTGTCATCTTGCAGTGTCACAGGTCATTCTTTGAGAGCTGCTCTCTGGCTGATGCTAAATTTTTGGGTTTGTTTTTAAGCTGTCTTAAATGATATTCTGTGGGTGTTGGCAGCTTGATAATATGGCTCATTTTCACCCCGTGGGTTTAAATGCAGCGTTGTGTTGTTTGCTGTTCTAATCCAGGATGTGCTGTCTCCTCAGCAATGACAGCATGGGGTATCAGCCAGGTGTTTCCTGGCAGTCAGGAGGTACAGGACACTGACACCATATTTATGGGGAAAATTATAGCTGTTAGAGCTAGAGAGCTGCACGTAAAGCAATGATATTGCCAGAGAAATGTGTGAGAGTTCTTTCCCATTGTTAGTGCCTGGTTTCTGACCTGTATGTCTTCAGTCTCATTACCTTTTACCAGCTAAGAGGAGAAGTATCAAAGATCAACAGGAACATAAGCCATGTTGTTGTATTTCAACCCATTTAGGTATCAAGATGCAGGCTTTTAAAAGAGCAGCACTAAGGTCAAAACCCCATAAATTCCATGTTTTGCTGTGTTGTCCTCTAGTATGACTTAGAACAGCCAGATCTTGCAAAGATGTAAATGTGTGTGTATATATGTGTATATATATATATATGTGCTGCTATGGATTTATTCCTTCTCCATCCAAAAGCTTACTCAACTCTGGAAAATCAAATTCCCTCCAGGACCTCTTCCATCATTCTTATTCCTTTTGTTTATCATCTTTGCAGCCGTGCAGCGCTGGGTTGACTGTTGCCTGTTGCAGTATTTGTCAGCATTCTGGGTTCATTTGCCAGATCACTGATTTTTCTTCTGTTCTCTTGTGTGGTTTCCCCTTAAATGTCTTGGTCAAATTGGTGCTTTCTCAGCAACAGAAATATGGATGATCCTATTTTTCAAGTCAAGCTCTCTACGTAGTTTGTCCCCAAGTAGTTTAAGACATGTTCATGACACACAATCATCTGCCTAATCTTATCTACATCTGTGTGTTCATTTCCCTTCCCCTGCAGTATTTAATATAAAGTGTGCTTTTGTATTAATGATGTTTGCAGGTGTGTGCATGCTCTGGAGTAGCTTAAAATCATCTTCTTAGTAATGCATTGTGTTTTCACTCTCTAGTCACTGCTCTTTGTATCTCAATAGTCAGTGTAATCAGATTTTGTGTTCCTTTACTTCTTTGTAGGGAATATTTTAAATTGCCTTCAACCAAGTAGGAATTACTTTTCTTTGTCAACAGAAAAGGATTCTGTAAGGTAACAAAAATAGCTTAAAAAATCATGTGATGCTTGAGCGCATGACTTGCAAATGTATTTGTATTTAAACAGACTAGAATACCAGAATTTTCATAGGTGACTATAAAAACCTGGTTCTAGGGTCAGGGTTGTAAATGAAGAGGATATCCGGGATATGTCATTTGTCAGCTGGTTTAAAACCAAATCCTCACCCCCTGCCCCCAGAAAAAAGGCAGAAAAATCCTCAGTCTTCTGTTCCTGTCTCTGTTGTCTCAGCACTGAGTGCTTTTTTCTGAGCTTGCACTGGAACTTTTTATCCAGTGAACACAGTGGCTCTAGGCAGAAGTAGGGAAATATCTTTTGGCATTATCAAAATGTTTTTCCTCAGTACTAGATACAATGCTAGGAAGTTGAATTTTTTGTAACAGAAATGTTTTTAATAAAAGTGTGATTCTCCTCCTGTTCTTATCTTTTCATGATTCTTCTTTCCTTATTTTAAAGCTGATGTAAGATGCCTCTCTCTCCCCTCCCATCCCACAGCTTCAAAACAATTATCCAGTACATCGACAACCAGTTTGAGCGGTACCTGCACGACGAGAGTGGCCTGAACAGGCGCCACATCATAGACAACAGAGTCCACTGCTGCTTTTACTTCATCTCTCCTTTTGGCCATGGGTAAGAAAACACCCTGGAACTTAGGTTTTTTAGGGTATTATAGCTTGTTCATAAGTCTGTTCATTACCTGAACTGGTAACTTAGCTGTTAATTGAGTTGCTTCCCAGCCTGTCAGTAAGCCAATGCAATTAAAATGGTCTTTTGGGGATTAATGCTCTCCTCTGCTTTGTCCCCTTTTTGACTTTTAATATTGTTTTAAATCAGTCGGTGTTAATATTGTTTGTCTCCCAGAAACATAAGCACTTTTAATATGCAATTTATCTTATAGTGACAATTTTAATTACAACTCAAGCTTTACACGACCAAGGTGATAAGCAAAGGGCTCTGACTTAATTTGTTATGGAGATACTGTTTATGTAGACACTTGAAATAAATAGTCTTTAATACATTTGGTCTGTTAAAAAAGCAAACAACACAAAACTCCATGCCTTTTTTAAATCTTTTTTTCTCCTATTTGTTGGCAGGCTGAAGCCATTAGATGTAGAGTTCATGAAGGCCCTTCATGGAAAAGTCAACATTGTGCCTGTGATTGCCAAGGCTGACACGCTGACACTGAAGGAGAGAGAGAGGCTGAAGAGAAGAGTAGGTCTAACACTGGTCATGAGAACAGAGCAACCCGTGTTAAAGCCACATAGAAAGTCATTTCAGACTAAAGAGGGGTGAATGATATTGGCCAAGGACATAATGTTCAGGAAGTGTGAGGTGGGAAATCTTCCCTGGAGTCTGATGTGCTTTATCAGTTGATTCAGACCCAGTGCATTAATTTGTGAAGTCTTAACAGATTTGAACCCTGCAATCCTGTGAATTGGTACGACTTTAATAACTTACCCCTTGAGTAGTGTAGAGATAATTAGTACTTCTAAAATGCAGTCTGTATTTTACTCCAGAGTAAACCTTTTCATGGTAAGATTACATCTTAATCTTCTATATTACCTTTTCATGACAGTTGTTTTGTGATCCTCTGGCTTCCCATGGGCCTTTAGAATGTTATTGGATCTTTATTCCAGGGGTTTTCCTGTGGGAGTGCTTTTCTGTTTTCTTGAAGGGGGACTACAGTTCTATTTAACTGGAAAAACAGTATAGTTAAAATCATGCCTGCAAAACAGCACATGATCTGAATTCACCCTAAGTTAGAGGATTTGTTTGGGGCTCTTTTGGGTGAACCAGTGCCACGGTGACAGGTGTGAGCATGGTTTGTATGGGCTTGTAAACAACTGCAGTTCAGCATTGCTGTTGTGTTTGTATAAAGCTCAGTGATGGCAGAAAACTTGCCCAAGAAATGGACTAAACCCTCTATCTGAGGAAGTTAAAAGTGGGGACAGTTGTGACTGAATGAACCTTGTCTGCAAAGACAAACATCCACTGAAGGGGGGGAGAGGTATTTATAGAGAAGTGATCAGCATATGGGGAACGAGGTGAAAAGAGGAAGGAAATTAAAAACAGTCCATTTGTTGAGATAAAAAGGACCTCTAGGTCTTGCTGGGAGAAATTCTGTCCAGGCTCTTGAGCTTCTATTGTGTTCCTCCACAAATGCTGTAAGGAGATGACAGGTGCACTGTGTGCAAATTGAAAGAAGTCACAGGGAAGTAATAAAACAGAAATGTGGCTGATTATGCTGGGTTTTGCCTCTCTTTTTCTGTGGCTGTACCGACTTGGTGAAAGATTTGTATCTCACATCACAGTAATATTGTTTGCAGAGCTGCTACTTTTTATGAAGAAACTGTATTTGGTCTTTCAGCAGGGAACTCCAGCTCAGTTTTCATAGGTGCTTACTTGTTAGTTCAGCACTTGGGACCAGAATGGTGTTGAAAGATTCTAAGGTGGCATTTAAGTGGAACATTAATAATTTCCAGTATAATTCACTGGGAATTTGAATGTTCTGCTTCAACAGTTCAAATACATAAAATAAACTGAATAAAATAGGTTCTAGCTACAGTCATCTTTGACAAAAGCAGTTCTTAGGTTAAATGAAGAGGAACATAGTCTTTCTAGGTTTCAGTAACTGCTGTAATTTTTGGGGACTCCTATCTGTGCTCTTTTTATCTGCTGCTGGATGATTTGTCTTAGGGTCAAGCCCAGCATGGTGGACGTGCTGTTTGACAGTCGCTTCTCTGTGTTGTTAACACTGGATTTTAGCTAAAACATGGCAGTAGTGCAAACAAACATTTTACATTTCCCATGTGAATTGGGAATTGCTTATTTTTCAGTACACTTCTGGAAGTAATGTTAGATTGAGGGTTGGCGGTGTGCATTTTTTGTGGAAGATGGAGATGAATCCCACTGTACATATCCTGTGATGAACAGATTGATTTGAAGGCAACTCCTTGTGACCATATTCAGTGCTAATCCATGTCCAACTCTTCCTACTTTGAGCAAAGTTACTTTTAACTAACTAATCTTTAAAACAGTCTTACCTTGGACATATGGACACCACATTTATGCATTGTCTGAGTGCAGCGAGTTGGATGTAGTGTGAGGGAGTGGTTAGGAAACAGGTAAACAAGTTTTCATTATTTTTATACTGCTGGCAAAGGTCACTCTGCAAACTGAGTTTATATTAAGTCAAATGTATAATGTGGTTCCAAAGCTTTGAAAGTCACAGCTACTGTATATTGTTCTAACTCAAAGCATCTTGGCCAGCAGAGCCTCTAATCAAGCCTAGGAATCAAAAGCTGCTGTGCTGACGCAGCTCCAGCCGTCCCTTTTTAGATGTTTCTGCCATTTGGCCGTCAATCTGAGGGCAAATGTTTTTGTTTTGCCGCTGTGGACTGAGCAGCAAGATTAGCTTATGGTGCTTGCAGAGGAAACCCAGCTTGGAGTAATTCCTGTTTGGTCTTTCTGGAATTCAAAGTTATTTTTTAAAACTCTTGAGTGGGAAGAAATGCAAGACAGTTTCACAAGCTGTGCCATGCAAGGCTGCTAAGGAAACATGCTCAAAAGAATGACTTCATGAGAGGGGAACTAATATTTTGACTTTTTCTTTTTTAATTTCCCATGGGAAGGCTAATCTTTAAGAACACAGAATCCTCCGAGGCCAATAAAAATTCAGATTTGAAGAAGCAAAATGCTGTTTCATTGTTAGGCCCATAAAATACAGTTTGTTTTTATTGCAATTCTTTTTCCTTTCAGGAAAGCACTAGGTTTAACAGCTGTAATATATTATTCTAGCACCCCTTGCTGTTGGCTTTCCCGTTATTGTTTCACTTGCATTTTATCTTCAAGATCTCAGCCAGGTTAAATGTGCTTTCTTGTTTTATGCAGCTTAAAGGCATCACATTGCAGCACTGCCCCACCTGTCCCAGCTGTGCATCTTTTATTATCATTTGGTGACAATTTAGTTCTCTTCCATTTTGCAGAAAGTAACAACGTGCATTGAGTTAAATGCCATTGTGTCAATGTAGCTGTTAATTGCTTCTTGGCAACACTTATTCCCAAATTTCTTTCTGCTTTAAAAAATGCTGCTCTCTGTGTAGGTGGGGGCTCATGATATTTTATTGAGTGCGGGGGATGTTTATATACCTGGCAGGAAAACACTGTCAGGGGAATAGCTGTGCTTCAGACATGGTCTTTCCTCTTCTAACGGTCTGGAGAATTGTTTGATTTTAAACAGCTGTTTGATAATCACATTCTGGTTGGACAAGTTTCATTTATACTGTAGCTGTTGGTTGCCATCACGACAGAGGATGGAGGAACCCAACAACAGCCAAGGAGCTCATTAAGAGCTCTCATCTGTTTGAAGTCTGCTTGTACTTGTGTTATTGAGTTAATCTCCAGTCATATGTGTAGTAGTGGCATCACAAGTCCTTACACAGACTTTTCTGAATATTTTTACAATGACCTCAAAGCCCTCCCTGATTTTCCCAAAGTTTGTCCTCTCTCTGAGTGCATTAGTGCAATAGTGCAGCTGCTTGGGTCAGGGGCTGTCTGGGGGTTCCAGTAGCAGCTCGTTAGGGAAAACTGCTCTAGGAAGTTTGCAGAGTCCACCTTTTCTGCTGAAACACCCGAGGTGCCTGTGCAGAGAGCCACTGTGGAGTCCCAGCATTCCTCATGCTCTCCCCATACCCTTCACTGGCAGAAACTCTGTCAGTGGTGCAGGGGCACGAGCTGACTGTCATGCTTTCAGCAGTGTGGCAGCAGAAGCATTCTCTTCAGTTTTGAAGAAAGGATTGACTTGTGCCACCTTTTGAAACTGCCCAAGGCCCAGAGTTATTTTGGCTGCTGACCCCTGAGGTAATTTCATTAGGAAAAGAATGAACACAGGAATATGAATACAGTATTTTTATGTAAATCTCAGACATTAGTGACAATAAAGAAAACTGTTTAAGAACAGGTTTTTTTTCTTACTGGATTTTTAATGACTTTCTCCAGTTTTAAGTAGATAATGAGCTTTTGTCTCTTGATTGGAGAGGCAATACAAACTGTCTTTTAAATTTTTTTACACATTAAATGCACAAAAATATACTGTGGCATGGGCTGAGTGGTTTTGATGCTGTAACTAATGAATCCCTTCTCCAAGTTCATTGCTTTTATTCTTCCTTCATATAACCTCACTTTGCTTTTGTCTGCTCTGTATTATGTGCCATGTAAATCTTCTGGCATTTTGTAATAATTTACTTGCTATGTTTTCTAAAAATGCATTTATCTTTTGTGCCTTGTAAAAAAATCTTTAAGCCTGTGTTATTTGGTACTTTGGACACTGAATCAGGTGCCTATTTGTGACAGACTAGTAAATCAATGATAGATGTTTTTAACTGAATACCTCTTCATAAAATAAGAATTTACTATTCTTCCTTTTTTGTAAACTTTCAGGTTCTGGATGAGATTTCTGAACACGGCATTAGGATTTATCAGCTCCCTGATGCAGATTCTGATGAAGATGAGGAGTTTAAAGAGCAAACTAGAGTTTTAAAGGCAAGTTTCCCTCCTAATTTATTATTTTGCTGCAGTAGTTCTTCAATCTACAATATGCCTAAGGGTACTTTTACAAGGTGTTGAAAATTCCAGTTATCTTTGGATGTTGACTCTGAATTATAATCCTTATTATTCCAATCTCTGTTTCATCAGAATTCCAAAGGTAGTATTGTGACTTTCTCTTCTCTTCTAAGGGAAAAGCCAGTGTTCACCAGGAACTATAATTTGCAGTCTGTGTTCTGACTCAAATGCTTCAGCACGCAGGGAGAGAGTGTGTGTTATGGTTGCTGTACTGATTAACAACTTTCCTCCCGTTAGATGAGATAATAAGGGTTTTACTGCAGTAATTTCCTCTCTGCACTGTGGTATTTGCAAAGGTGCTTGAAGAATGTATCTGCAGTTCTCTCTCCAGCTCCTCCAGTCTGTGTGTGCAGTGTGTTTGTGTTGGCTGTTCTCCACGCTGGCTGTGGCAGATGACACATCGTGCCCAGACTGTGCTGGAACAGTCAGGTGTTCCAGAGCACAGCGTCATTTCCTTCTGGGCCTCTGCTCACACAGCTGAGCCTCGCAGAGCTACAGGTGTTCATTGGGAGAGGGTGCCTTGCCTAGAGTAGGATTTATTGCTTTTCCGATGGGGAAGGGTTTTAGCAGAGAGCATTTGTCAACATTTCTTTCCCCTCTCTCCTGTCTGTTATTTAAGTCTTTGTGCTTTCTTTAAAAAAAAGGACAAAATACAGACATCAACCGGCCAGAAATCAAACCAGTAACTTGTTTTTCTGTCTCAACTAGGCAAGCATTCCCTTTGCTGTTATTGGATCCAATCAACTAATTGAGGTGAAAGGGAAAAAAATCAGAGGCCGCCTGTATCCCTGGGGAGTTGTGGAGGTTGAAAATCCAGAGCACAACGATTTCCTCAAGCTGCGCACGATGCTGGTGTGAGTAACGGGACAATGGTCCCCTCTCTGGGGCTGACGTCACTGGGACAGTGACTGCACGTACAACAGCAGGAATCCTTCACTCCAAACTGGTTCTCATGGCAGTGCAGAGTGACATCTTAGTCCCCTGCAGCTTGTTGGGCTGCTGTACCCTCTGATCTCTGACTTCAGAAAATATTTTCTGTGTTTTACGTTGCCAGATATATGTGGGTTTATGCCTTTATGGGAACTGATTTGGTGGCTTTACGTTTCAATTGAAGTTTTGTTACGGTGCAGTCGGTGGGCAGGGAGGCTTTTAAAATATTATTCCAAGTGAAAAGTATTCTTAAAAGCAAAGTGCAATTTTCCTGGCAGTGCAGGAAGTGCTTTGTTAGATGTGATGCCCCGCCCCTTTCTGATTTGAGCTGATACGGGTATTCTGCCTGTGTAAATGGCTTCCAGGGATTTTTTTATAAATGATGTTCTGCTGTTGTTGGACATGGAATTCCATTGTGTCGTTCCCAAGTCAGTCTGGCTGGGCAGGGATTGCCCTCTGCTGGGCACTGGGAGCAAACGGGTTTTCCTCTTCCCGGACAATTGGAAGGCGTTAGGCAGTGTCAGCTGTTGTGTGAGCCAAGCAGCTCCACCTAGTTCTGTTACAAATTATACCTAACAGCACTTCAGATTCATAACATACTTCAGGAATTACAGGATTTTTCTGAATAACTGTCTTTGCAAGGTTGTTAATGCTGCAAAGACTGGTGTAAACAAGTCACCTAAAGCAGTGAGTGAGAGAAGGACAGCGTGCTTTGGGTCTGGGAAGAACAATGCTGGGGGCACTTAGCTGTGAATTAAAGACCAGGGAGCTCTGTTGGCTCTACGGCAGGCTGGCTCTGTAAGGGTTTACTTTTCTGGGAAATGCATCCGTTGGATAAAACAGAAATAGAAGATAAAAGGGGTGATTTTCTTTCCTTTGCTGAGATGGACAGTGTTCAATGGCCCTTTGCCTGTTCCAGAACACACATGCAGGACCTGCAGGAGGTGACCCAAGACTTGCACTACGAGAACTTCCGCTCGGAGCGGCTCAAACGCACCGGCAAGTAAGTGGGTGCTGCTGGGAGTCCTTCTTCCACTGGGACATTGCACTTGCTCTTCCTCCCAGCTAATCCCTGGGTGTTTCTCATGAGATTCCAATCTATGGAATTACTGAAACTTGTATGAAACACTTCTGGAAGAGGAGTAATGCACAGCAGGGTGCTGTGCTTACAAATGGCTGCTTGTTCTGTACCCATTCCCTTTTCTCTGTGCAGTGGGCTGCAGGCAAGGTAGGTTTTTATTAAATGATGTCTGCTTGGAGGAAGGAAACACGAGTGGGCACATTTAAATAGGCCCCAGCTTACCTGATCAGGCAGGACACTGCTGCTCCAGTTACTGCAGGACTGCCATGGTGGCTGTTCTCTGCTCCTGCATATATAGCTGAAGAGAGTTTTGACCAATCAAAATTTTCTGATAATGTCTGGGTTTTATGAAATTTTTTTCTTTTTTTCTTCCTGGTAAGATTTTTGTCCTTGGCAACTTAATGCAAAAAAAATGCATGTACCTTTCCTGCATCTTTATGGTTAGTAACTGGTCCATACTCCACTTGTTCTTTAAGTATTCAGCAAAGCATTTTGATCTTAAAGAGAAAAGGAAATGACCTACGCAGCTTTTTATTGATTTGATTTTTGTACCATGGGTAGATAGTGAGGGAAATCTCTTCATTAAATTGCAAAAAAATCCATATAGCAGTGAAGAAATGGAATTTTAAGAAATGGAGAGTGAATAGCAGGAGCTGGTGAGGTAAAGATGGCCTTTTACAAAAGGGAAGCATGGGTTTAAGAATGTCCCAATTTCCCCTGTGCAGAGACATGTAGCCTTTTTAATGTTACATTAATTGAAATATGAGCCTTAAATCTGTTCTTAGAGGTTTTTAGTTCTGTGTTTTATACTATCAATGCATTCTTTTCTTCAATAGGCCTGTTGAAGAGGAAGTGGTAGACAAGGACAGAATCCTGCAGCAGAAGGAGGCTGAGGTAAGAGGGAACCTGTGAAGCTGTTCTTTGGTGTAACATGCTGTGCTGCAGTGTCAGTGTGTGCAGCTGGAGCTGTGGAACAGCCCAGAGCAGGACAGGGGAGCTGCCCAGGCAGAGTTTGGGTCAGAGTCAGGGGCACTGTGGGTGGGAGCTGGCCCGTGGACTCTTGGTGCTAGGCAGGATATTTATCACTTCCCATCCCTGTGCTAATTTTCCATAAGAATATTTGCTATTTTAAGTATTGAAATCAGTTTATGTTTGTTAGCTACGTGTGCTGCTTTAAACAGTGTGTTGGGACAGACTGACAGTCTGAGGTCATTTCAGATGTGCAGGTACTCACTGCAAGCATGTTACCAGTACATTTCTTTTTATGGCTTGTGGCTATGGAGTAGAAAAAGGCTGTTGGGTCTCAAAACTTCCATGATAAAATAAATGTGAATGTTTTTTCATCTTAATCCTGACTTAATAGTATTTCTGTTGCATCTTCAACTTGTGGATTTGGTGTTTCCAAACTCTGATTTCTCACTCTGGTTCCAAGTTATTGCTAGGCTTTTCAACTTAGTATTTTTATGCTAAAGTTGTAAAGACTCAAACTTCTAGCCCAGTATTTAAATTCAAGGAGTACATTGCCAGTGCTTATGATTGCTTGCAATGTGAAAACTGAAGGCTTTTTGCCAATTGCAAGATAGTGGGGTTTTTTTAGTGTTTATCCTTCTTTTACGCAATTCAGCTTGGATCCAAGTCCATAAATGCAGGAAGGTGTGATTTAAAAGATCAGTGCATATGTGCAGTGATTTGGAGTAAGAAATAAAGAGCTGCAAGCAGTTTTGTGTGCTTCTGAGGTGAAAGAATGACTCCCATACATGGAAATTTTTGAAATGATGTTGCTTTGGTCTGTGCATTTCCTTCTTCCTTTATAGCATCCATATTTAAAAATAGCTAACCCTGCTTAGCTATTGGCTAACCATGGCATATTGACAGAAATAGCAGAAATGTTCCTAAAAGGAAATGCAGAAGCGGCTCATTATCACCATATTTAATGATATGAATTAGTGGAGATTGGATGAGCTGTGTATTTATCCCTGTGTGACTCCATTCCAGCAGCACGAGCCCTGGGCTGGCTGTGCCCCCCCAGGAGTGGGAGCAGTGCAGTGTTGTGTGCCCAGTCAGTGCCTCCTGTGCCTGCTGGGTGTGCAGAGCAGCAGCCCCAGCAGCTGTCCCACAGTCCAGGGGCCTGGACTCTCTCAGGAGCACTTTGGGAAAATGCTTTTTGGTTTCCTTTTTTGTCCTTAGTGCTTCCGAGATTCAGTAGGCAGTGCTTCCGAGATTCAGGCAGTCATGGCTGTTTCTCCTGTTATTTGAACTTTATAAATCATACATGTCTAATAGTTAAGTAGAAACTTGGGTATCCTTTAGAACTATTTATTTTAAGATTTATGTCTCAAAAAATTCTCCTATAACCATTTCCTCTGGAAACTCATGATAGGGCAGGCACACTATTATATACTGGTCTATTCTGACCACTCTGTCTGAATGTATAGATAGAGTTTTAAATGTATATACACACACATATATAATATGGAATGTGTCTTTTATGTAACGTGGCTAAAGGGGTGAAATTTTGAATTTCTTGGAGGACAGTCTTTGGAAGTTTCCTCTGGGGCTAATCATCTCTGAATAATTGCTGCTGAAGTCGCAGAGGATTAGGTTAGAACTTGAAAAAACAAATACATTTTAACTTCTGCATTCTGCTGTCCCAAGGAGATCAAGAGGCTTTGCTGAATCCTCTGTAGATAAGCTGGTATGAAGTCTCTTCATCTCGAAATCATCCCTAAGGTTCAGACTGGGAAAAATCTGTGGAGGAAAGAGGCACAGAGGAAATGGGCTTGCATTCCATGGCCTTCACAGAGAAAACAAATATCCATTTCCCCTCCTGTTTTGCATTCCCATCAGTAACGGTGCTTGCAGTTCTATTTACAGTTTTGTGAGGTTTATATAACCTTGGAAGGAATGAATGCTTGGGCAAGTGCCAGGATCATCTTTATCAAGGCATCACTTTTGCTAAATGATCTTTTCTTATGCCAAAGGATGTGGTCCCCAGTTCAGCAATCTGGAACTGCTAATCTGTCATTTTGGATTTACTGCTCCATCTTCTTGTGATTTTGCTCATTTGCAAGTGATGACCTGTTTTTCTGAGATGGGAAGTGAAAATAAGAATAAAGATACTCATGTTCCTTACTGTAAAGATGCAGTACAGATTATTTTCATGTTGTAGTGCAAATGGGCACAAAGTTAAAGTGTGTAGTTTTGTGCCCTATTATTCCTACTCTGAAAACATCTCGTAATAAAAACCTTTCAAAGTTTCGAGAGGTAGTTCTTCCAGAAAACAGTTAGGGCTGTGATTACATGAAAACAGCAAGGACTGAGCTTTCTCTGGTTTCTCCAGTGAGCTATTCTGAGGCTTTGGGCAAATCTTCTCTCACTGCTTCCAGTGCAGTTGCTCAGCACTGGGCTGAGTGTGGTAGAACGAACCACACTGCTGAAATTGTTTGCTCCTGTCCTTCCACCTTGTGAGGGTGTTTAACCCTTTGGCAGCTGAGATGAGGAGCTCTGGGTCAGTGTGGGAGTCAGAGAGGGCACAGCAGTGGCCTAGGGGAGGTGAGGGTGTGAGGAGTGTGTGCAGGTCACTGCCTGGAAGTGCAGGGACATGTGGAAGTATTTTCTTGAAAGATAATGTGGAAACTTTTATGTGAAGAGACAGCACAAGTGCTGCTGAAGGCTGTGTATCCGTGACTCCTGTGAGGGGCACGGATACCTTTGAGGAGGTGCGTGGTTCATTTTTAAGTCTTATTTTAAATGTTTGTTTCCTTTCTGTGTTGCTGCAGTAGTTACATGACAGGTTGAACTAAATTTTAGTCCTGACATAAGTAAACTAAGAGGTGTTTATGTCAAGGTTAAGTTTATTCTTTTGCCTTTTGTTATCTGAGAACTCACAGGAACGATTTGTTTTACCAGATCTCCAAACATTATTTCCTGGCTTCCTTTCCATGGTGTGCATTGGCCCTATGCTGTCATGTTGGAGCATCTGTTCTTCGGGACCTGAATGTGAATGTATTAATGCTGCTCTTACAAGTGAGAGGAGTTGCTGCTGAGCAAGATCAAAGTCATTTTATGGCCTTGATGCTCGCAGTCCCCAACAGCAAAGGGAACACAGATGTGGATGTGACATCAGTGCCAGTCTTTGGTGTGATTCTTTACATTCTCCTCTATTAATAGCAGGGTTGTTTCTGTCTGTGCAGGAGGTCCAGTAAGGTGAACATGAGCTGCTCTTGGTGTGTACTGTGATGTGGAGGAACAGCTCTTATGGCCCATCCTCTACTTGAGGAATTGTTACCACTCGAGCGCAATACAGCTGGATTCTCTTTTTTAACTCCACTCCTGAGCTGCCAGGATTCCTGCTGTGCAAACCATGTCCTGCCCAAGGTGTGCATCCTCCCTGAGTTCAGCACTGCAGTCCTGTAGTTATGGGACCAGGTTTTGCTGTGGTAACTATTGTTGCTCACAGGCTGTCTGCTGAGAATACTGTTGTGAAACTGGTAGTTGTAAGTTTGATTAGAGCTTGAGAGCCACAGTCTCACAGCAAAAAGCAACCATTATTTGCATAGCAAATGCTCAGTGAAAACCAAATCAAAATGCTGATGCAGCCCAGGATGCAGTGAAAAATAGGTGTGCTTGAGTACCTTTCTGTTTTTCTTTTTTCTTTTTTTTTTTGCCAACTTTCCTTATGGAAGAGAAACTTACCTCCCAATGGCCATAGGAGACAACAGTGTGCCTGGTTTTGCGTAGTTTTTTTCACAGGCTTTGTGCCTGGAAGTTTTTCTACTGAATTACACTGGAATAGCTTCAGAAACTTGCCATTACTTAGCTAATGGACGAGACTGAGACTTCACCAGTAGGTCTCAAAAACTCCCCATGAGAATGGAAAAGGACAATCTTGTTACAATATTAATGTTAGAGCAGAGTTGGTCTCATGGGGCTTTGGTGCTGCCTACATTTGTGTCCTGTGCAGCATCTGATTTCTCTCATGGTATGGGCAGATTTTTATCCATGAAGGTTAAGAAAATGCAAGTCTCAGTGCTGTATTTAAGTCCTACAGTGATGCTGGCTATTAGCAGAGTTCTGTGTCTGAGCAATCCCCATAGTACTTGGGCAGCAATATCTTCCCCTGTCATTACTGTTGGGTGCCTATTTTGGGAATGTTTCATGGCTCTGCTTGGAGTGCTCTTGGGAAAGCTCAAGTAGGAGAGCTTCCAAAAAGCTAGTTTTATTCTGGTGGTAAATCTGCAGAGAGACAGTTCAAAAGACCAGGTGTCTTACATTTTTACAGATGGATCTTTGAAACTTCTTTTTTTATTGTATCATGGAATCAATGCAGCTCTCACTTCTGAAACTTTCTGCTTTTTTTTCCTCCTTGCTGCAGCATTATGCCATCTTTCTGATCAGGAGCTTTTTGGTTTGAGTATTTAGCAGAAAGATGTAGATGGGTTTATAATAATCCTTGCAGACTTAGCTGTATCTCATGCTGTTGCTGTGTGAATCTCCTTTTGTCAGAGGGCATCTCTGCTGCAGTCACAGGAACCTGAATTAGCCTCTCCTGAACCCTGTGCTGCAGCAAGAGGATAAGTACATAAGCCAGCTAGTTCTGGGCAAGCTCTGTTACTGCTGGCTATGCTGCAATCTGTTTTTTACTCCTTAGTTAATCTTCAGTTTCTTACCATTTCCTAAATCTGTATCTGAGACCAGGCAAGGAAAAGTGATATGGGCACCTGCAATTTATTTTTTCTGTTCTGTGATGTTTCTTTCTGGTTTTTCTTGTTTTGTGGTTGTTTTTTATTTTGGTTTTTTTTTTTTTCAAACAGCCCAAACCAACAGCTCAACACCATGTACATGCAATCAAGTATTTGTCTCAGATTCTTTTGTATTGAATCTGATGCAGTAATGAGTGTCACAATAGTTAATGTGGTTCACTGGATGAAAGTACAGTATGATTGTTTAAACACTGTTTTGAGTTAGAATTCCCCCTGACCTCCTTGCAAATAACTGAAAGCAATTCTCTACTTCAATAAGATGACAACTTGCTATACAAGCCTCAGATTTTTACATGACCTCCAATTTGAGATAGACTCATACTTTATGCAACGTGCATGGAAATAGGAGCCTATTTCCTTCCCAGTTTGTAACATAGGACATTTGTAGTTCTGTATGTGAAGCTTCCCCACCTGCATTTGGAAGGAAGTACCAGTCATTTGTAAACCAAATTAGAGGTATTTGCATATACATTTTGAAAATCTCTATTAGTGATCTTTCTTCTTTCTTAGGAACATTTGTTCCAATTAATGTTATTTAAAAAACCCCCAAACCCAACCAACCAAACAAAAAAACCCCATTATGTATAACTGGCCTTTTATGAGATGGAAACCAACTTATAAGTGTTATAAGAAAATGCCTTAAGAAAACAATTATTTCCATGAAAAATCATTGTTTAGATTTAAAAAATATTGTTTTTTTATATGTTTAGTCTGGCTTTTCAAATTTTATAAACATCTTTCTGTTTCTCTTTTGAAGTAGTTTTTAAATCCTGGCTGCTTGTTCAGCTGTTCCTGTTGCTAAAAATTTGCAGAGTTCTTTGATAGCCAAAGGCTGAGTGTTCTTGCATGGTCTTGTGCTTTGAGCACTTGTATCAGAGCAAAGCTGCTTCAGCTCGCTCAGGTGCATGTCTGCATGCCAAAAGGACATGCCTTTCTTACTGCAGATTAAATGGGGATCCACAGGTCTGTAAACAGCAAAAGAGTTGGACTTTATAGCTTAATTTTCATTATAAGTATTCTTCTGTGAAAGTTAGATGTAATGAACTGAAGAGTGTGAGATGGGGAAAACCAAAGTATTCAATTATGTGAATTATTGAACATTTCGAGCTTGTGAGGACGAAAACAGGATCTGCATTCTGCCATGGAGGAAAAAGATGTATGGTGTCCTGGATTTTTGGCCTCCTCCTGCCGTGGCTTAACCAGTGGGTGTGTCTCTGTTGCAGCTGCGCCGCATGCAGGAGATGATTGCCCAGATGCAAGCCCAGATGAGGATGAAGCCCGGGGATGACTGAGGTGTTTGACACCTGGATGCATCAGGTATTGCTCTTCTCACTTGTTTCCTCCTCTTACATCAGACTTTCACAGTGGTTATTGTTAATTTTGCACTTTGGACTTGCTTTCACAGTACTTACAGAGGAGAAATGAGTGGTGTTCTGGGTAGACTGGAAAAGAAGATCTGTGCAAATGTTACCTTTGCAGCTGTTTTTAAGACCTGTAAATGCTTATCCTCAGTGCCTTATCTTTGAATCATGTGGCTTTGTTTCTGTTAGCACAAGCTGCTCAGAAAATTGATTTGTTTCTATGTAAACAAAAGTTAGGGTGTTTTGGGGTATGCAGGCTGCTGCATTTATAACAGTTTTCTCAAAGAACCAAACAGAATTTTACGAGCTGGTCATGTGCAGTGAGTACAGACTCCCTTGGTGGTGTGTGTGATGTATGAGGTGGGATCAGAGCGAGCAAAGAAAAAAATTCTTGTAGCAAATATTAATTCTTTCTTCAGAATGCAGCCCTTCTGATATAATTCTTCTTTTAAATGCAAGAAGGAAAAACAGAAGGATATGAGGAGTCTTGTTGCTTAATACTTCAGCTTAATACTCTAGTTGTGATTGCTGGTCTTGTGGAATGTAAAGCTTGAATAAAATGGATTATATTATCCCTTATGACCTCGTGGCAGCTGCCAACATTCCAAGCCTAAAATAAGGAGATTTTTTTGTTGCCTTTATTTGAACCTTCAGTCTTCCTGTTTACATAAAGAAGAAAAAAAAGTTTAAGAAATAAACTTATTCACTGGATTCTGATTTAAGCAGAAGTTGATGGTTTTACTGGTATGTTCACTGTGATCTTTGAGTGAAGTAGTTAAGGGAAAGAAGTAATGCACTCTCAGGTTTCTTACTGTCACAGTTCCAACTGTTGAAGATAGAGGAGTCTTCACATCATGTTTTCCAACTTCCATCTAAGATGTGCTTTCCCAGAGTTGGAATTTAAACCCTGAGGATAATTTTGTGGCTGACCATGCAGTGTGTGCAGGAGCAGTGTCTGACATGGCCCTCATTCCCTGGGCAGGAGCCTGTTCAATACTGGGAAGTGTTTCAGTCTGAACTGAAGGTTCCAAGTTTTCATGGTGACTTTGTTTTGTCATCACGTGGCCAAACTCTGAGCACAGCAATGGCTGTTTGCTGCAGGACAGTAGTGCAGTGTAGATGGTTGTTTTTTGCAAAGGAGCTCAATTCTTTGTGCAACTTACAAATCATGTTTAATCACATGGCACCTTTACACTTGTATTCAGTCAGAAAAAACCCACTGTAGGTGTAATAACCTTGTCCATAGCTGTTTGCAGAGCAGAGGATGGCAAATGGTGCAAATGCATTCAGAGCTGTGTCTTGAGTTCCTAGATGCTGGCTTTGCTGTGAAGTCAGGCTCTGGGGGCTGATGGGATGCAGTATTCCCACTGATGGCTAGCCAGTGATGGCCCCAGGTTCCCTGTGTGTCACAGCTTCTGCAATACTGGCTCTGGTATTTCTAAAGCTGGCCTGGAGCAGAGTTTGTCCCAGGCTGAGTTTGCAGCCATGGCTACGGAAGCAAACAGAGTTCAGGCCATGCTGCTGTGCCCAGGGCAGTGTTACCCTGTGGGTCCCTCACACTGCTGACCTGGAGTGCAGCTTGGACCACTGAGGGTGCTAAGCAGGGGAGATTTGCAGATTTAACTGAGTGTTCCCCTGATCTTGTTGTGATTTAGTTGGAACTGAATCTCGAGGAAGTTAATTGGTCTGACATACTGAGTGGGGACAAATTTGGGAAGGATTTGAATGAGATCTTCATACGTGGAGGTCCTGCTGTTTCTTTGGAATTCGCTGAGCTCCATTTCTGCAGCTGCTGTGGAAATCATGTTTGACAGAATGCTTTCAGGAAAGAGTTTTGAACTTATTTTTTGTTACCCTTGAGATGCTGATGGTGTAAGTTATTGGCCAGTATGCCCAGTCAGAACTGCAGTTGCAGTCCTGCTGAGCCAGGGTGTTGCTATATGATCCTGGCAGCATGTTGAAGTGAATCCTCACCCAGAACTTACCCTTAGGCAGATTTCTCTCATGCATGTTAAGTGACTTTGCAGTTCAGGAGGAATGACGAGTTCAACCTCCAGCATTCCCATCAGATTTATTTGCTGTATTTTATTTAACTCGCTATTTCTAGAGAAACCAGGAAACTCGTAATTAACACAGTGATTAACAGAACCAAACTGACAACAAATTTAAATATACTTGATATCAATCTTTTTGTTCTATCACAGCTTATCTTGAACATCTCTTGGGTTCTAGTTTTACGACAACTTTAAAGGATCAGCTCTGCTACTGAATCCACAGTCTCTTCTCCAGTTGCTCTTTTGCACCCTTACTTTATACTGAGAAAAATATGTCACTCTATAGACAGTTTATATAAAATTTACTATTTTCACTCCTTTTTATTTTGGATACATACATATTTTTTTATTTTATTCAAAAGTCCCTTAAAATATTTTTCCCTACATAAAGCACAGATATAAAGATGTTTTCAGGTATTTTGGGAAAAGAGAAGTATGGTGTAAAAACCTTCAGAGATGAGAGCTGGAGAATAAGCAGTAGGGTAATGAAACGTGCTGATATCCAAGTATGTGAAATACCCACTTCTGGTTTCAGATGTATTTTGGGGTGGGGAGGAGATTGCTGGATGCTTTGGGGTTTTCTAGAAGGAGTCTGGCATTGCAGAATGATAAAAAGTGTTAAGCTCAAAACCTTGCCAAAAAGCCTGACAAGTCTGTATTCCCATGAGGTGCTGCACAGATGGGATGACTGGAAGGTCTGGTTTGCCTGATCCCTTTTGAATAGGGGCAGCTTTAAAGGGTTTATGGGAAGGGCAAAGGGAGAATTTCCTTCCAGCCTTTGCTCTCAAGGCTGAGGTACGAGGAGGGTGACAGAGGCAAAGATCACACACAGGGAACGTGCCCCAGGTTTCCAGAGGGATGGATGGACGGACAGATCTCCTGCTCTGGAGAAGCGGAATCCTGACAGGCAAGGAGGACGAGCGCTGGTGGAGCCTGGGTCAGAGGTGGGAAGGGAAGGTGATTGTGGCACTCTGATCACTCCTGTTCCCAGCTGCAGCTTTGGCAAAGGCCTGTGAACACAGAGGGTGCTGAACAAGATCTTTGAGTGCAGCCTAACAGGGGTGCTGACCTGCCCTTTTATCTGTTTGCTCTAAACATTTCATAGCTTCTGTGTACAGACAGTGCAGTGGAGGAGATTGTAGCAGGCAATGAGAGCACAGCTGGACACCAAAATATTCTTGGAATAAGCAGTAACAATTGTTTTTACCCTAACTTTTGATAGATTCACCTTACTAATCTTTTTCAGATTTTTTTCTTCTAAAGCACAAGATTGCTCTAAAGGGTTGAAGCTTCTTATACTTGACAGTTCAAATAAAGGTTTGAAGAGAAAGATGGAAGGGGGAATAAGTTACCAAAACCTAAAACAGGCTTAATTTTATTTGGGTACTCCAATACAAAATGCTTTTGAAATAAGCCTGCAGTAATTCCAGGAGCATATTGACTAGTTCCTGAACTTGTCCATCTCAGATGAGCGATTATTATGAAAAGCTGGAATTATTTTATCAAATTAAGTGGTTGTTGGTGGATATTTCTTCCTTTTCCCTCTCTGTTTCTGAAAGTGTATCTCTTTGCAATCTGTTTTCCTCTCATTATTCTTACAAATCTGGTTTGTTGTCTTCACTCAACGTCAGGATCATACTGGGACAAGCCAGTGACAGTAGCCAGGCTATGGAGAGCTAATACAGCCATCTGGAAATGTAGTTATAGTTAGGGAAATATGCTCATATAAAAGAGAAACCCAAGCATCTTGCACTTAAAATATCTGTAGGATGTTGAAAATTCTTTTAGTATAGGTTGTAATTTCCACAACTATTTTAAAGCCTCCTGAGCTTGCTAACACTGATTCTTGATAAGAACAGTGCTGAAGACACTAACAGCTCCTTCTTTCTGACAATGAATTGACATCATGTAACAGAACAACACAAAAGCATTGTCATAGCAACCAGCCCTCAAACGATGCTGCTGAATGCTGAATTGATCTGATGAGAAATGTCATTTGAGGGAATAGAGATCATGCTGTCGTTTTTGGCAGCTGAAATTGAGAACCTGGAGAATGTAAAGCTTGGGCAAATTTGTAATATTTGGAACAACTGCCTGGCACTGCCAGTGGATGTTTCTCTGGCTTAGAAACTAGAGCAGGAGGGCACCATTGTGCTGCAGCTCTTCTGACTGTGGAGCTGTTGAGCAAACCCTGCACTGATGGGCTGGCACCAGGGGTTGTCTCCTTTAGAGAACAGCCTTTTGAGAGCAAAGGGGGTTGTTGTCAGGGGTGAATGGAGTGACGTTTATTTGCTTTCAGTAGTGTGTGGATGCCTTGGGAAGGATGAAACCCCCAGTGTGGTGGCTGCAGTGGCATTCCCAGTTCTTGGGCATATGTGCAGTGGCACCTGACACTCTGCCTCTTAGAGCCTTGATTGCCCAGGCGTGTTACAAGTGACATATTCCACCTCTTCCTCTGTGCCAGTGACACACTGCTGTATCCACTGCAGCTCCTGGATGCATGGGCTGATTGAATGATGGCTTCTGGCTTGCTTCCAGAATTCTTGGGCATTTAGTGTGCCCGAGGGATGGGTACACAGACCTACCAGGTCTGTGCCAAAGCCTGACGTGGTATCATGGGGAACCTGAAAATGCTTCAGAGACACCTTTTGCTAAAGAAACAGAGGAACATTTACAGTTTTGAAGCTTGGAGCCTGGTATTCGTGTGTGACTCATGGCTATCAATATCAGCATATCTCACTGCTGAACGTTAGAAAGCAGTTCAGAGGCTGGGTTTGTCCCTGCCTGTGAACTCGGTGATGACATTTGCTATGGGGAAGCACAGGGGCTTCTGCAGACCAGCAAAGGAAAGGGAACAAACTTGAAGCAGTGAAGTCAACAGAGGGTGACTGAAATAGCAGAAATTCAAAACGTTTGGGGTGCAGGTAACAAAATGAGTCAAAACTACCTCACAGCAGGCACTGGTGCTGTCCAGTACTCCTCTGCCTTGTGGGAAGATGCCATTTCCCAAAGTTCCTGCTGATGATGGGACACTCGGAAGGGTGCACCTACAACATAAAATGGGTGCTACTTGAAGAAAAACAATTTAGGTCAGTGAGAAACTGTAGCTGCTTAGAAAGCAAATTTCTCTCATTGGGAATTCAGAAATGAACATGTAGAGATGTCAAGTTGCCCTGCATTGTAGTCGTGTTCTTGGAAACAGCCGAGGGGGAGGCAAACCCATTCCTTCCCAGGATTTTGAAATGTTTCAAATACAAGACTGAGCAATGTGACCAGGTGCTTCAGGGAGCAGGTGTACGTAGTGCTTGCTGGTTACACTGCTCACTGAGAAAGTCTTGTTCTAATGGCACACTGGAGAAATGTAGCCTCTCTCTTAAAGGATGGGATGAATTCACTTTGCAGCTGGAGGCATTTATTAACACTGTGTTGCTGAAAGGAGCATGGGGGGCTGTAAGGTTGGTCTAAGAAAGATGCAGATCAAATTGTCAAGAACGATACCAACCAAATTGCATCATGAAATATTGTCTCACAAGGAGATGAGGAAGCAAGAGCAGTGAAACAAATCCACACTAAAACTCTACAAACATCCTTTGCCAACACCCAAGTGTGTTCCATGACCACATAAATGCGGGGGTCGTGTAGCTGATGCTGGAAACATCAATGCACAGCTGTGCCTATAACCCCAGCCTTCACATTTACTGGAAATTCCAGTCTTTTTGTGAGTCTGACACACCAGGCACGGTTTCCTCTGGAGGTACCTGGAGCACATTGGAGCTGGGCAGGCAGTGGCAGAAATCAAGTTTCTCTTTCATACTCGAAGCAGCAGTGTAGCACAACAGTTAATTTTGAATTTGCTTAGCAGTTTATGGACTCTGGCTTTAAAGCCTTACTGCTGGCTTGCTTGTTTTAGGTGTTATGGGAAGTGATGGACTTCTCACAAGGTGCAGGAATTGTGCATTGAGCAGAATCCCCATAGTGAGAATGGCCAAGAGCAATGCACCCTGTTGGCAGCTTTCCTTGCTCCTTATCCCAGGTGTAGTCTGGATGAGTGTTGCGCTGTATTTTATAAGTGAGTTGACACAACAGTGTTTTCTAGGATATTTCTTTTTCTCTATCCAGATGAATGTTGAAGCTATTTTTTCCTGTCAGGAATGAGTATTTTTGGGACTGGAAAATTTGAGGTGTTTCCCTGAGTTCCAAATCTGACACATCTTCCTAAGCAAGACCCAATTTTCAGGGAAAGCTGGAATTCTGCTTTCTTTGTAGCAGCCTTTTTGACTGGCAAGTAACTGTAGAAATTCCAAAACTGGAAGTTACTTTTGAAAGTACAGACTGGTATCCCTTTTTTTCAGCCATAGGAGTACTGCTGTACAAATGCTGGGAAAAAAAATCTTTCCTATTTTACCTAAGCAGTGTCACAGGAGTGTTGGTGCATGACTGCAGCCTTGCTGCTCCCCTGTAGCCCTGTTTGTCGGGTGGTTTGTGCTCCAGCAGCAGTGCTGCCTCACCTCGCAGGCGAGGTGGTGCCTGGTGGGCAGTGCTTTGGAGATGAGCTGTAACACACTTCTGGTGTTCTTGCAGGCAGAGGGGGGTGGTGCTTAACAAAGTATGTAGCTAAAAATAAGTTCTCATTTATTAGCTCTGATTAGACATTTGTGATAAACATCTGGGGCCAGGCTGCTCAGCTGATCTCATCCTCAGGCAGGTCCCTGTGATGCAGGGACTGTCGCTCCTTGTTCCCTGGATTATGCTGCTTTCCTTGGAGGGGCTCAGGCTGCCCCAAATGCTCTGACAGTGCTGACAGTTTGTCCTTTCTAATGCTCTTTGTTTTCCATTTTGTCCCCAGCAGCAAACGGGTCTCTAAGTGGATGGGTGCTCTGTTTTCTTTGCCCGAATGGGACCGTTCAAATGCAAAAGCTGGATGCCACAGACCAAGACCTGCTAAAACAAACACAAAGTCTGAAGAACGTGTTGTAAAACGGCTTGTTTTATATATCCAATGTTATTCAACTTACAGTGTATCTTTTTTTTGATTCTTTTGGTAATGCTGTCTTCATACTTATAAATGTGGGTTTATTATCCTTCCTATATCTTTTTATCAGAAGCTGATAAGAGTACTCTGTATGGACTAGTCATTGTGGTGGGTTTAAGGAGTTAATCATGTATCTGATAGGTTGTTCTGAACAGTTTCGTGGTTAATACTAAGACTTTGTGGCCTGTTTACAGTAAAACGTGTGTTTGCACAGTATCATAACTTTCACCTGCCATTTTAAGTCATTATGTATCATATCAGTTTTTCAGAACTTTCTCTCTGCTTTTGTTACTTTTGGAGCTTCATCTCTGGTGATTTGCATTTGTGTGGTCGTATGAGAAAATGCCCAAAGCGCTGATGCTCCAGCAGTGGTACAGCAAAGCTGACTGTTCTGACTCGTGTGCCTTACTGTCCACGAACGCTGCACACACCACGGCTCGTGTGCTGCTCTGAGGCTCTGGCTGAGGGTCTCCAGTATTGATGGCAACAATTGTCACAGGCATTTCTATCTGTCAGCTGAGCGATGGCATGTACTCAATTTTTTATATACCATAACACTAATTTTCATTCAAGTTTTGTAATAAATTGTACGAATGTGGAAAATGTTGATTTTTTTTTTTTTTTTTTTTTTTTTATTTTATTTTGGCTTTTTCAGGCTAATCTATGAAGTGCTGTAATGCTGTCGTGCACGGTGTGTATTCAAAGGAATTGTGATGTTTGCTCTGAGGAATGAAGGCATTTTCTAAAATTTCTCTGCATATAAACTGCTTTGATTTCATTTCGAAACAACTTTAAAAGTGTTTTACCTGGAAGTTGGGTAGCAAGGCTTTGCATCCACTTTTCCCCAAAGTTCATTAGGCACCTACTGACGTCTTTTAGATGGGTAAATACCTTGGAAAATCTGTTTGCACATCTTAGCAACATGCATGAATTTATAAAGTATTTCCTTTCCGTCATTACTGACTGTGTAGCTCTTTTCTGCATGCTTTTGTAGTCTTGTGTGTTTTATATATGCATAAATGTAAATTACTTTGCAAATAGGGGGATTGAGACACTTTGTCTTCTGTACTAAATTGGGGTGTCTCTCCTGTAATGATTAGCCTTAATTTTGCTGTCTAGCAATGAGTGTTTAATCAGGATAGGATTCACAAACACACAGGGATGCATATTTGCCTTGTTTGGAGTTGAACTGCATAAACTGGACATTTCATTGTTACCTCAGTGGCTGCTATCATGAAGGTGACAGAAGAAATTCAGTGACAGGTTTGTGTTCACACAAAGTCTCTTCAGGTTTTTGAAGATTTGAATTTAAGTGTGTCTGTCCAGAGGGCCAAGGTGAGAGATTTAATGGGAAACTTCATCTCATCAGGAGTTTGCTGTTATTTGCACCTTTCTTATTGTTTTTCTTCCAGAATTTTGCATGATATTTCGCAACCTTGAGAGAATGATGTGCTGCCCGTTTGTGCTTGTGGAAGTTGGAGCAGCCACGCCCCTCCTGAGAAACCCAGGCTGCAGTTACAGACCTTGGTTAGGGCTGGGTTAGCTCTGAGCAAAGGGAACATGAAAGCTCCACCTTTCAAAGCCAGCTAGGACAATGGGGAAGTGCACTTTCAAAAGCATCTAGTCTTTAATTTTGTTGAGAACAGAGGGTTTTTTCCTCCCTCTTTTCAAAGCAAGGTGCCTAATGTCACTGTCACAATTCTCATGTGGGAAGCCTTAGTGAACAGATTTTTATTAGTGGATACTGATTAGGAGTTGTAGTCTTTACCTTCTTTGGGCTTGTGGATTCCAGATGGAGCATTTTGGCTCAAAATCTGAGATCTGTTTTAATAATTGTCCCAGAAGGGCTTGCAGTGCTACTGATCCCATATGCTTTCTACCACTTCTTTGATGTTGTCTGATGTTAATTTTCAGTTACATTTGAACTTGGTTTTGTTAAAATACTTCACAGCTTACTGGGGGAATGTATATTTGTTAAATCAAGTCTTTGCTAGTCTGAAGATCTCTGGATGGCCTAGAACCTGCTTTTGTGACCTTGCATTTCCACTCCCATGGTGCCAGCAGTGCCAGGGCCATGGAAGACAAGTCACTTCCTTGGAATTCCACCCTGGCCTTCTCCAGGCTGACATTTTCCAGCACTGAGACAAAGTGCCCATATGTAACTATTTTAATGACTGTTCAGCAGGATCAAGGAGAGTTGACTGTGGTCCTTTCAGTCTTCATTAGCTTTGAATACTGTGGCAGACTATAAACCAACTCATGAAAGGCTGATTGGCTCCTTGGTGCCTTTAACTATGGTGCAGGGTCTCTAATGCTCTCTGGCTCTAGTGTTTAAAAACAAGAAAATGTGCTGACAATTACGTGATTTATTTTTTTCTGATGCATTGAATCAATGGCCAAAAGTGAACTCAGAATGAGCTAATGGGGTTTTAAAATGTATGTGCCTGGGATTACCAATCTCTGGTCTTGAAAGTGTCTCCTTGTTTAGATCTGAGGGATGTTTTGAATGAGAAGGTGGAAGAAATGCCAAGATAAATGCTGTGATAACTACAAGGATTTGAAAAGTTAGTACTGTGATATTGGTGTCAGATTTGTTCCAAGGCAGGGCAGTGCCCTTGCACTTGTGTAGCCATCACCCTGCCAAGCTTATTCTGTCCTGTATTTGGAAGAGTTTCAGGTTTGATAATTTACCTGTCCTTGAAATGTGGAAGACATGAGCCCTCCCTGCAGCCGTGGAAGGCAGGGGAAGGATCTGGGTGTCCCGAGTCTTCACATCCCCCTCTCCTGTCTCCTCTGCTGTTGAGGTTTCTATGAGCTGTTCTCAAATCGTGTGCAACTGCTGCTTTTCATTTGAGTTCTCTCTTGCCTTTTCTTTAAGAGTTTTACTGACAGCTTTTACCTAAAATAACTTTCCATATAACCTCTCTAAAAATTTTTTAATGGAAACAGAGCACACATTCCTACTTCACACAGCATGGTTGCAGTATGATTCAGGACTTCCCACTGTATTTCGAGGCGCTAAATCTGGAAACGCATTTCCTATTTATTCCATTTGTGTTTGGGTTTTGTATTTATTTATTTTTTTAACGCTGTATTCCCTCTTCTGGCTGTTGTGTTTGTGTCGAGAGCAGGCAGTGCTCTGGGCAGGGGGCTCTGGGGCACTTTGGGCAGGGGGCTCTGGCTCCGGTGCCGGTGCCGGTGTGGCCCGGCGGGTCCGGGCAGGGGTCCGTCGCTCCGATGCCGGTGTGGCCCGGCGGGTCCGGGCAGGGGTCCGTCGCTCCGATGCCGGTGTGGCCCGGCGGGTCCGGGCAGGGGTCCGTCGCTCCGATGCCGGTGTGGCCCGGCGGGGGCGGTCCCGGGGCGGGCCCCGCTCCCGGGATTGGCGGCCCCGGGCGGCCGCGGCCCCTCGCGGGGCGGCCCCGCCGCTCTCGCTCCCTCGCCCGGTCCCGCAGCCGCCCTCGCACACGCGGGCTCGGCCGCGGCCCCGGAGGCACCATGAGCGCGGGCACGCGGTACAAGAGCAAGGCGGTGACCGCAGGTGAGGCGGCGGGGACGCGCGGCCGGTCCCTCCCGCGGCCCGGCGCGGCCCCCCCGCCTCACCGTGTCTCCTTTTCTCTCCCCGCCGCCGGTCCCCGCCGCGGGCATCCCGCCCTGGCCGCGCCGCCCCGCAGAGGAGAAGCAGGTAGGTGGGCTCCGGCCGGGGCTCTCCGCGGGATGCGGCGGCTGCCCGGGCTCGGCTTTGCCCGGGCTCGGCTTTGCCCGCCGCATCCCCCCGGGTCCTGGGTTGGGTTTCTTTTTTCTCGCTGCCTTTGGGTGTGTCGAGCGGGTTCGGATGGAGAAAGGCAGCGCGGGGGCTGGCGGAGGCGTTTCGGTATTGGGAGCACGTCTCCATCCCTCTCCCCTCCGCAGCACAGATGCGCAGACACAGCCCCGGTCCTGCCGCCCCTCGGTGCTGCAGCCCATCAACCTCGCAGGCGGCCGGGATTTGGGTGTTAGGGAACATCTGTTTTGCTTTGCAAAGCTTATAGCTATTTGGAGACATGCCTTTGAGTCCCGGAGAGAGAGGAGGAGTGATGCAATCAGATGACATCGACAGGTTTTTTGTTCTCTGTTTGGTCTTTGGAGGGATTTAGGATATTTGAAAGGAAGAGGAATCTTTTTTTGCAGACCTTGAATGCCTAGGTAAGGGGTTATCAGAGCCCTGTGTGTTCCTTAGCACCCATCATCGTGATGTAGGCAAGAGGGTTTTTTTAATGACGATGGAAGAGCTTAGAATTCTGTCTCTCAAGGGTGGGGATGGAGGCGATGGTAACACAGCAGGGCAGTGCAGGGGGAGCAGCTCACCCACTCCCTGCCTGGCTCACACTTGCCTTTGGGTCCAGTCTTTCTCTGAGGCTCCAATTCCATAGGAAGCAAACACCTTGCCTGCTGAGACCCTGGTACTGCACAGCCTTCCTGGGCCACAGAAAAGCAAACTAGCATTGTAGCAGCTTGGGCATTCACCTGGCCACAGCAAGAGATGATGTTTCCCTATATAATGCAGACTTGGGCACTGAAAAGATACTTGTGCATTTTTGTGAGCTGCTGATTGCAGTGATGAGAAGAACAAAGTAAATCCAGGGGTAATAGGATAATGGGATCACCAGATGCATTTTTCCCAAGCTACTTAAAGTTTTGCTAGTATTTTGTAGTTATTTCTGAGTATTGCAGCTAATTCTTGCTTTATTTCTGGAGGAAAACACTCCAGAATGTGTTCTGAAATTGCAGAACATTTAGTGTAAGCTGTGAACTGAGGAGAAGCTTTGTGACCCACTAGAAACATGCTGTTCTTTAGTTCATTTGTTTTTAAATTAAGAGGGAAGCAGGTTAGGTACAAAGCTCGGTTCTGCTCATTCCCCAGGGGCAGAAGTGAGGTAGAGATCAGAGGAGTCTGTTGTAGATGTTATCGTGTCTCCTGAAGGCCCTTGTCACACTGCATAGGCGAAGGGGTTGGAGTCTGTACCCCGAAGAGCCCGTGTCTGCAGGACAGGGCAGCGTTCTGCTGGGGCAGAAGAGGCCTTTCCTCAAATGCAGAGGTGTATCCCTGCATCTGCCACTGAGTGTGGAGCTGGGCTTGCATGACAGAGCACAGTTCATTATGGGTTTGGGCCGGCCATGTTCCTTGTGGATGGTGGAGGGAAAACGAGCTGTGAACACAAAGCAATCCGTTAATTTGTGGTTTCGTACGTTCACTTTAATTTTAACTTTATTTAGCATCCTTTAAGAGCAGGATTTTTTTTCCTGTGCCGCTTATTTTCCCCAATCTGCTCACATCTGGCAGCAGGTAACAATTTAAAAGATGTACTAAAACTGTGATTCTTGCCTGAACCAATTTTTCAAAATGTATTATATAAGGTTTTTTTTATAAATAGTTGGGAAATGAAGTGAGCTTCTGAGAGGGCAGTACAATAGGTTGCATGTAAGTAGGGTAGCATTTGGATAAGTCTTAATAATGTTCATCACTTACTGAGTCCAAAGAATGGAACAATGTGGTGTCAAAGAATGTGTCTTCGTCCTCCCTCCCAGCGCAGTCAGGGCTGATGCACTGTCTGGCTCCAGGGGACTCTGGTTTGCAGGTTGGGCTCCTAATTACTACCATTTATGAAGAAAAAATAACAGATTCTCCACCTCTCTGGTTTTCAAGGAATGACCTCTTATTTGATTAATCAGACACTGAACTCCTGTGCTGTGGAAGTCCATGGAGGTTTGGTGCTGGTCTCTGTGTGCAGAGCACCCAGCTTTCCAAGGGGAAGGGTTGTGGTTTGAGAGCCTGGGCTGGGGGGATCCAGTTTCTGGTTGAAGCTCTGCAGCAGGTTGCCTGGTGAGACCAGGCTCCTTAGTCGGTGTTACCTCAGTTCAGCACCTCTTGGGGGGGTGGTTTCTCTCCCAGCAGTTTGTGTCCCGCTGGATCACTGCG